ATCATTTTTCTGCAACTGTGTCCAGTGGCCAACTGCAGACTTTGCTTTACAGGTTGTTTTAAGATCATGGTTAGAATAGGCAGACCCATTTTACTTCGCATCCTTCACATCACGTTTATTTCCTATCTGCCTTATAAAGCATATGTATAATTTTACAAAAGCATGCATTTCACTCTCTTAACATGGAAAAGCTAACAGTCGAACTGCTGCCTCTGGTGATTGAATCTGTTACCTGAGTCGAAAGTCATCAAGGGACATTATTTTACCTGTACCATAACACCACTATGGGAACCCCCCGCCCAGAGACCCAGGCAAAGTGAAAAGATATACTTCTATATAAAACAATGGGAGCTTAGTCAGTGTCTTAGCTGTAAATCAGTCATTTTATCCAATGCAGGGGATTTAGAGGGTGAAAATGGGCCTGCCTTATTAGTTCCAGTGGGACACTGTAACAAGTGATTTTGCCACCTGGAACAATTCAGCACTTTGTTCTTTCTATATTGACCCTGTGAGTATGGGCTGTGCCGCTTAATATGAAATCCATGTGCATTATATTTGAACTGATAAGTGTATTTTTCTAAAGACCACACAATAACTCATCATGAGAACATACTCATTTTTGATAAAACATTGCACCCTGGACTGAAGGATTTTTTGTGGTATCTGTCTTATCGTATTTGGCCTATGTTTTTGAGTTTTGCAAAAAAAAAAAAAAAAAAAGTAAGTTTGTAGATAATGTGATTATTTGCCATATTTATTTTATTTATCTATGTTAATAAACATATTTATACTTATATACATTGATTTGCATAGCACCTACAAGTTCATGATCATGTTATACTTCATTTATACTTATACTAAACTTTAATTCATAGTTTTATGTATTTTATTACGTTCCCCCTTTTTTCATTGTATGAAAAGATGAGCCTTTTGATGTTATTCTAACAAAAGAAATGCAGTTGTTGATCCAGTTTTAGACAGTTGATACATGTCTCAGGCTGAATAAGGTTGCACTGCAGACGATTACAATTTGGGCCTAGTTCAGTCTGCAAACAAAACAATCATTTGGTTAAGGTGACCTGTCAGGCACTTTCGGTTAAGATTGTGCAGACTGAACTTTAAAGTAAAATCTGAAACATGATCCTGATCATTTATTACAGTTGCTCTTAACATACCTAACAACATTCTCTAGTGACCAGATTTTGCAGCTTATTAATGACAAGAGAGGTTGACACAGATCCAAGTTCAGTCCCAGGATCCTTTGCGTTTCTCTTCGCCCTGAATGTGCATTCCCATTTAGCTTGGCCTTTACTAATACAAAACCATGGTATCAGGGAGAGGAGCACAGTGAAAAGTGAGGGACTTCTTGGCATGGATGCACATTGGTTATTCTTAGACAAGAAGTGACTGAATGTCTGAAAAGGCCCAAAGTAGACGACCATTCGGGATGAGGAGTATTATTCCCTTCAGCTAATATGAGACATAAAAATACACACACTCTTGCATAAGGCCAGGGCCAGTGGAAAGGTAGACATGCAGCGCCAGGAAGAGGACAGACGGAGGAGGAGAGATGGAAACAGGGTGGGATGGTTGGGATTTCTGGTATCATATGGTAGCCACCGCACGGCTAACCAACCAGACCTCAAAGTGAAGAAAAACTTTGCAGCCACCTGTTGTCAGCATGCCCCACTGCTCAACTACAATAGCATAATGTGTCCCTATAACCAAGACAGAGCACAACCCATTAATTTACCTCACACCAGCCCAAAAGTCACGGCTCTCAGCACTGCATCACTCAGAGTCGCACTTTGTTCTTGGAAGATGACTTGGGAGATTAATAACACTGTACCGGCACAAGTTACAACATTTATTTAATGATTTTAAAGTCTAACTTACTTGAAATATAATCTGTTTAGAAGTTGTCCTGCTTTTCTTTTGTGAAACCTTGCTAACTTGTTCAATTATTTCAGCCACAAGGGGAGGTGCCAGCCCCAAGCTAGTAAAAAATGACTTTACCAGCATCTAGGATAAAACCTGTGACCTTTCAATTATCGCTGCAGATAAGGATTCAGAAGCTATAGGACAGGAAGTCTGTCAAAAATGAAATAAACAAATGGCATAAGCAAGACAATCTTTACTGTCTACAATGATGCTTGGAGTGTCACAAGCCGGCAAAGGGCCTATAAATTATCAAAATTTGTTGTACACAATTTACGAAAATTTTTAGTTTATCAAAATGCCCCCATTTGTGCAGTGAAGTAATGTAAAGCGGTAAATTGAGGGTGTTGTAGTGCTCCCACTTTGGTGGGGCAGATGCAATTGAGAGCCAATCATTGCCACTTTCATCTTTATTCTACCAGTTACTATTATGGGAAACTATGGGGAAAATGCATTGAATTCTTACAGATCCAAAAAAAAAATAATAATAATAATTAAAAAATTCAAAACTGATTTTTGTAAGATACTGATCTTTAAACTACTCTTCATATGACAGCAGTGTTTTTGAGGGAATTTGATTTATTTGAGTTTGTTATATGAGAGAATATTTTATCTATATCTGAGACAGGTGAATCTTTCACAGATACACAAACTTCCTGTTATGCCTTTCTTCATCTGGAACAGTGTTATGGTGGACTACAGTGTGAGTGTGCTGTGGCAGGAGAGGGCTGTGGGGGTGGGTGATGAGGGCCTGTGTGTTTTACTCAGTGAGTCGACCTCCTAATGCCAAAGCCTGAGAAAATTGTTACGGTGAGAAATTTTGGAAAACCCGTCACAGCCCTGACCACAAAATGAGGTTGGAAGTACTTTCTCATGTTTGAGCGAAGCTGAGAACCTGCTCGCCTGTGTAACTGGATGAAACGACTGTCTGGGAATGACCCCAGTTGTAGAAGTGATTAAGGACCCAGTTTTGCCATAACCCAAATGTGTTAGTAAAAACTGTGAGTGGCATTCCCCAAGATATTAAATAAAGAGTGGTGGAGGTTTATAACAGCTGCTCAATGCAACATTTTCTTTTGTTGTTGGTGGCGTTTTAAATAGCCTGTTATTATTTCAGATTGAAGGGTACAGAGAAGAAGAGAGGGCCCGAGAGTGTCCCTGTTTGACGTGAAGATGCAGTTGTTGTTGGCTCAGTCAAAAGTCTTTATTTTCCAAAAAGCTTCAAACCAAATGCCTGAATGGAGATGATTTACCATCCTGTAAACACATAGGAAATACCACTGAAAAACCTTTAACAAAGTCAATAAAAGCAGACATCCTTCCTGGCATGAGGGGTGCAGAGGTCCATAAGGGCTGGCTAGTGACGCGGGGCATCTCCAGCTCCTGTCCATCATTGCTCTCCTCTGGTTCTTCTCCTATTCTTTTACATCGTCCTCTATTTCTCCCTTTCCTCCCCACTCTCTTGCTCTTGCTAAATTTTTTATCCCATGTGCAGGGCAGTGGACAGCAGAGCAATGGCTTTAGCAGACCTACCTGCAGGGCTGCTCCGGGCGGCTGCTCTGAGCGTCTCTTTTATCTGGGCTCTGGAGAAGCAGCCCCTGGCCCTGGAACAGCTGTGTGGAGCTGCACTGAGAGCAGCATGAAAAACACACAAGAAAAAAGGGAAATTCAAAGGCCCTGTGGGACCTATACCTCCACAGGTCCCCCCTCACACTCAGCCTTTATCTCTCACTTGTCCGTTCTTGTAGGTCTATTTGCCATATCATTGCCATTTTAAGCTTCTTTTCATCCCAAGATTTGTCCTTTATACCACATTCTTGTAATGTATATATTATATGTTTAGTGCAACCTGTTTTTCTCCTAATGGTTTTCAAACTATTTAGTTTAGCTGTTGAATTTGTGCTCTAGGAGGCTGCACCACACTTACCAGGTTATATGCTGACCTCAATGGTGAGTTTATTCCTGACTCAGACAATTTGCTGAATATCTCTCCCACTCTTCACTCCCCTTTCATGCTTTAGTTTGTCCTGCACAATAAACCTGGGATGCAAAGGAAATGCACAAAACATAGGAGCTCTCCCTTCTGGCTAACCAAATTATATGCAGTAGTTCCATGAAGCTAGCTTTAAAAGACACAAGAATATGACGTGAGCCAAAATTAGCTCAGCTCATCACTTCTTACTGCTACCCAGTGCCCAGTTCGTCTCTATAGACCACATGAAACAAAGGCTAATGAAAGCATTTCTCATCCAGAGCATTAGTGCTTGTTCACTGAGAGGCCGCTGAAAAATGGGAAGTGCACAGCAACTTTTAGGAGCAGGACCTTATGCATCATCTGTGTTTCTCTGACATTGGCATCCTACTCCAGTCATTCTGTACACTCCCACACATCATAAAGACTAATTATTGAGATTGACTCCACGTATGCACATTTTCACTTTCTAAATCAGATCATGTATTTGTAAGTGAGGAAAAATATGGTGGTGGTAGTTGTCTTACAGTCAATAAAAAGTAGCTGTTAGTTTTTAGCCATTGATATTTGGTAC